TGATTACACAGGCTGGTGTGCTTCTTCCATGTGGGCTTTGCTGCTTCTTAGATGGCTGCTTGTTTATCTTAGTCCTTAACCTTTTTTTTCCCCTGAGGGTCAGACAACATAGCATTTTTTATCACCAATTTCAGTCGAGTCAACTCCGACTCATTGAGACGCCATGTGTATCTGAATAGAATTGTGGTCCACGTGGTTCCAAGTGATTAATTTTTCCGAAGTACATTGGTAGCCTTTTCTTCTGAAGTGCCTTTGGTTGACCTTGAAATCTCCACCCTTCCTGTAGCAGTGAAGGAACAATAACTGTTTGCATTACTTAGGGACTCCATTGTAACGGGGCCTCCCTAACTGTACTTTGAAGGGAACGATCTCTAGCAGATGATTTAGTCCACATCTTATTCAAGGTATGTGACAATTATGTCGTGACAACTGTCAGCAATTACTTTCATATCACAAATCGCCATATCATTGCCCCTGCAGCTACCTGATGGTCATTCTCAATATAATCCTCCAGAAAACACCTTTATATATCATAGCACATGAGTTTAATACTTATTTACCTTCTCCTGATTTGAATTATTTCAAATTATCACAACAATCCCATAGTTAGACCTATTATTTTGTGCTAAAAAGCCTTAAACGAGTGAGATGATTGCTTGAATTCGTAAGAAATCATGTATCTGACTCCAAAATGTAGGCCAATTCTCTTCGACATATGAAAACATTTTATTAAAAGGTCTAGCTGCTACACCTATTTCACATGTAATAAGCACAGACTTTCATTTCTCTTCTCTCACCTCCCTTTCTGTGATATAAAAGTATTATTTAGATCTAATGATTGGTAGAAGGGAGAACACGCGATTAGAACCAGAAAGGTCTGAGGTTGACTCTGATTCCAGGTGTAAGAAGATCAGGTGACATGGGAACATCATTTGTCTGAATCTCAGGTTCCTTCTCTGCAAAGTGGTAGTTTGATAAAACTCATAGAGTTTAAAGTATAAATAGATAAGTTAATATTTGTGGGTATATTTGGCATGAATTAGCTGCTCATTTCCCTTTTTCTGCTCTACTCTTTTCTCCTTAGTCCATTGAAATCATAGGAGGAGCACACCAAGGGGTTTCTTATTATTATTGGTAACTAGTCTGAGAACTACTAAAATAACTTTATTTTTATTAATTCCACTAATAACAGTAGAGT